TGTGTACGCATCGCCCTCGCCCAACCAGGGCCTGGACGGCGGCAGACACGCCTTCATGCGCTGGGCGCACCAGGAGGCGGAGGAGCTCAGCCACGCTGGTAGGAAAGGGGGAGAGGGGAGAGAGGTGCGTGGGGAGAGAGGTGGGTGGGGAGAGAGGTGGGTGGGGAGAGAGGTGGGTGGGGAGAGAGGTGGGTGGGGAGAGAGGTGGGTGGGGAGAGAGATGTTTGGGAAGCGTTGAACGAGGTAGCGAATGAGCAGGGCACAGTAGAAAAACTTGGTGATGTTGACACCATATTCCTACTGCCTGTCTCTCCCGCCTATCTCTCCCATTAGAAGAGCACAAGGCACATGGTCGAGCAGTGCAGCAAAGGCAATAAGCATTTCCGTTCCGCCCGTGCCTTATCCCCCCTCTCCCATCTCACCAGCCTTTGGCGAGAACATGTGGGAGAGCATAGGCCCTAGGGTAAGTGTATGAGCGCAGTGCGGCCAAGGTGCCGCGCAACAGCACAAACGCATGGCAATACGCCTGATCTCCCTCCCTTCTCCCGCTCTCCTTCCTTCCCATCTACCCCGTCCCCCCAGCTTTCGGAGAGCACATGTTGGAGAGCATCGGGTATGTGTACGAGCGCAGTGTGGCCAAAGAGTCTAGTTTTGAGGCGCCTCAAAACTATGTGTACGAGCGCAGTGCGGCCAAGGAGCAGGGCAAGAGCATTGTGATATTCTGGTGAAAGCAGGGTGATAACATACCTCCCCTCCTTTCCCCCACTTGTCTTCCCCCCCTCCCCCCCCCCCCCAGCTTTCGGAGAGCACATGTTGGAGAGCATCGGGTATGTGTACGAGCGCAGTGCGGCCAAGGAGCAGGGCAAGAGCATCATGTACCTGGGCGTGCCGTATGTGGGCGAGTGGTTCAGAGAGAGGGGCCGCCGCATCCAAACACAGTGGTCCGCCGCCATGGGTGGGTCTATATGTGCTGCTGCCATGGGTGGGTCTATATGTGCTGCCATGGGTGGGTCTATATGTGCTGCCATGGGTGGGTGTATGCTGCCATGGGTGGGTCTATATGTGCTGCCATGGGTGGGTCTGTATGTGCTGCCATGGGTGGGTCTATGTGTGCATGTGGTTCAAATCATGGGTGCCTGCATGTGCCATGGGCGCGTGCATGAGCTGTTATGGCTGCGTGGATGTGGTTCGATTTGCTTCAATGGGTGGGTGGTACGAGGTATGGGTGCCTCTGCGTTAATGTGCAGCATGGTGCCACACAACATGGCTGGCTGGGTATGAGGCAATAACACAGGGTTGCAATGACATATTTTTAGAAACATCCCCCCCCCCCACCCCCCCCCCCCCCTCCCCCCCCCAGAAAAAAAAAAAAAACAACAATGACATGCCATGTGATGGCCGTCATCTATCTCTGTATCACTCGCTCAATCTCTCTCTCTCCCCCCTCACCGCCCCCGGAACTCCCCCCCACCCCACCCCCTCCTTCCTCAAGCTGCATCCCCCAGGAGTGGTGAGCTTGTTTCAGATGCACATGGAACCAGCTACAGGATAAATCTGAACCAAGAGCAGCGGCATGTGATACATCACGATGACAAACCTTACAAACCCGAAACCCTACATCACGATGCAGATGGAACCAGTTACAAGATTAATCGGAAGCAAGAGCAGCGGCACGTGGAGGAGACTAGTTTTGAGGCGCCTCAAAACTAAATCGGAAGCAAGAGCAGCGGCACGTGGAGGAGACTAGTTTTGAGGCGCCTCAAAACTAAATCGGAAGCAAGAGCAGCGGCACGTGGAGGAGAGTGACGCGGTCGAGGCAGCGCATCGTTCACTTCACCTACTCCCTCCACTGTCTCCCCCCCCCTTCCTCCCCCCCAAGAAAATTCCCCCCTTTCCCCCCCACTGAATCGACTGGTGAGTCACAGGACTGGTGAGCCTTTTTCAGAAGCAGACGCACATGCGGTGGGACGTGGGGGAGAGCAACATGGACGAGGCACCAAGTCACCATGGACTCACCTGATCCCTATCCCCCCCCCCCCTCCAAAAAAAAAAAAAAAAAAAAACAAAACAAAATGTATGTTGAGTTGCACAGGCGTGGTGAGCTTGTTCCAGATGCAGATGGACATGCGGCGCCACGTGGAGGAGAGCGACATGGACGAGGCGGCGCTGGCGTCGTTCCTGGAGAGCAAGCAGCAGTCGCTGCTGGAGTCGCTGTGGCGCCTCAACGTGCTCGACATTGAGGCCACGCTGTCCATCGTCTGCCACCAGGTACTGCCGCGTTTTGAGGCGCCTCAAAACCAGGTACTGCCGCGTGTCTGTGTGCGGCAAGGGGGGGTGAGGGGGAGGGGATGGGGCGCATGGAGGCATGTGTGTGGCCGTGTGTGTTTCTCGCTGTTGGAGTCGCTGTGGCGCCTCAATGTGTTCGACATCGAGGCCACGCTCTCCACCATCTGCCACAGGTAGAAGAGCTGTCCGGGTTTGTGTTAGCGCAGAGGGGGGG